GCATCAAATCGTCGCATCGTAAACTTTAAAAATAAACAAGCGCGAAATTGTCTGAGACAGACAAAAGTCTGCCAGACGGCCGAAAATAAAGACAAAAACAAATTAAATAGTTGGTATTTAGTTTGAGGCTTTTTGTTTTATGTGCTTAGTGTGGGCCGTCATATGCGCATTACTCACATGTCTATTATCTACGGCATTTTATTTTTAATTTTTATTTCACTATTATTTTGTTTTTATTTTTTTTTTTTTTGGCAAATTTATAAAGTCTTGCCTGCTGCCGCCCAAGAAATAGGTATATTATGGCTGGCACGTTTCTAGATAAGGCGGCCAACAAGCGAAGCGCATAATTCTATTTGGCTTATGTGGTGAATGAACCCACATCGCAGACAGAAGGTGGGTCATGAATAACCTTAATGAAATGGGGTATATGAGCGTTAAGGTAAGATTTGCGAAATTTTTGCAGATATTTAAAATAGCTCAGCCGGTGAAACGCTTAGGATACGAATTAGGTAAGCCGAGTTAAAGATAAAAAACCCCTTGCAAATTTTTAGGTGGGAGAGGATGGGCGAGCGTAAAAGTTATGGATGCAAGAATGTGAAAGAGTGAGAAAGGTGGGAAGAGAGAGAGAGCTGCAGAAAATATGAGAGATCGAACGAGATATTTATATAAAGGGAGGGAGATAGATCGGGAGGGAGAGATAAGAAGGCATTAGAGAGAGAGACTGCAAAAGATTCTTTAAATTGCAAGAAGAAGATCGAGAGAGCAAGATATCGACAGACAAAGAAATCGAGAGAGAAAGTTAAAGCGACTGGGAGACAATAAAGAAGAGATGATAGAGAGACAGAGAGACTCTAAATATGGAGATAGACTAAAGAAAAATATTAACTCAGAACTAGGAGAGTAATAGTAAGAGAAACCCAACAATGAGTGTGAGATTGTAAAGAATACACTGAAAAGGTTCATTGAATCATTGCTTACTTATTTCACAAGCTTTTCTTATTTTCCGTTCTTAAAAAAAAAAAACCCAAGTTCAATTCAAGCAAAACTTTTTCGTGCTCGTTTTGGGCCACAAGTTTTCTTATCGTAAACTGGCGCAATAAATGCAAACTGCAAACTGCAAGGAAATGGAAATAAAAAACGAACTCAGTTCTCGACAACTTACACATACAACAGCTGGCTTAACTTGTCTTGAACAGCCGGCCAGAATCAAATGGCTGTTAGCCGGAAAGAGCGACATAAAAGGATTTCAGGCAAAGCCTCAATCACGTTAACAACGAAACCTTCAATTGATTTATGCAAATCCCAAACAACAACAACAGCAACAATTTAACCAATGAGAGAAGCATTCTGAAAAAGGCGAAACGTGAAAAAAAACATTCACAACAGTCAAAACAAATAAATAAATTGACCATTAAAATAATTGCAACGCCTAAATGCGTTGGGAGCGTGGCTTGTAACATGCTTTGCCCGCTGCTGTTGTATTTGCTGTTGTTGCTTTTGGCTGCGAATGTTGCAACAACTTGTCAAACATTTGAATTACAGTTACGTAAAGCCTGCCCCATACAACAACAACTTTTGGCCAAATTTGGCTAAATTTAATGAAGCAATTAAATGACTATAAAAAAATAAAATAAAATAAATTTTTTCTCCTGTGTGTTTAGCTTGTTGATGTTGCCGCTTGGCTCACATTTGCCGCAACTTTGGCATTTTGAAGTCAACAAAATAAAATAGAATTTAAGTTAATTGAGTTTGAGAAGATTTTCGAATGGGCTTAAACTGTTTTAGGCAAGATTTTTGTTTTGATTTGTGAAGATTATTTAAATATTTGTTAATATTCTTATAAAATATTTTGCAGTCAAAAAATTTATTAAATCTATTTATATAATTATATATATTAAATATAAATATATATATATATTACTCTTTAAAATCTTAGGTATTTAAATTTAATATATTTTAAATATTAATATTTAATTTGAAATATTTAATCCAAATTGATAATATAAGATTAAATTATTTTGATTATCATTTTTAATAAATTTATGAGTACTTAAATAATAATAATAATAAAAAACTAAAATAATAATAAAAAAATAAAATAATAAAAATAATAAATGACTGAATAAATAAAATTAATAATTAATATCTGTCAAACAAATATTTTTTCAAATTTAATTTGTATATCAAATTATTTTCTAATTTCTTTAATATTTATATAAAATTGATTACTCTTCTAGATTATATAAATAACTTGCAGTTTGACAGTCACTGCTTTGAGTTGAATTTATCGCGATTCGCAGAATTCTCGCTAGACTTTCAATTAGTCACGCGCGCCTCAAAGCCATTGAAGCATAAATCTAGACATTGTTGTGGCCAAAGCGTGCGGCAAGCCAAGCTGACAGACACACTGACAGGCTGACAGACAAACTGGCTGACTGAATGACGAACTGACTAAATGACTGAATGACGAACCGCCTGGCAGGCAGCTACGGCCGCTGTTGCAAAAGGCATTTTCAAACAAGCGAGAAAAATATTTTAAGCTGTCAAATCGTTGACACATGCCAGTTTCGCTCTTGTTGCTGTTGTTGTTATTGTAAATCACTCGATTAGTCTAATTGTTAAAGTCAACTCGCGCGACTTGAACAATTTGTGTCTCTCGCCCATGAAACGAATGTCAAGTTTCCGTCAGAGGTCATAAATTTGGTTTCCATCGGTCTCCGCGCGCAAAGATTTGTTCTAATGTCTTTTTAAACAGTTGTGACAAATGCCTACGAAATATTTCCAGCACACAAACACACATGCACTAAATTAAACGTGGAGAGAGGAGGGAGCTTTGCATGGCATTTCAGAATAGGAAATGGAAATGGAAACGAGTGCTAATTGCCTGTGAAAATGGGCAGCTGGAGATGGTGCTAAGAAGTAGCTGTCATGACAGCAAGTTTTCGGGGTAATATAAAACTAATTGTTAGATGTTTTCGAAGCTTCTTGTTGAATTCTTCAAGTCTCCAGTGTCACGTTATATGAAATTTATGTGAAAATATTTTTAGCTTGGGAAATATTCTAAAATTTTTTTAAAAATATGTTTTATTTTTATTTATTTTTCTTTTTAACCTTGAATCAGTTTTTTCTTCTTCTATTATTATACAACTATTTATCAAAAATTTTTGGAATGTTCTTTTGTTTTTTTTTGAAGCCATTTCTGTTATACATTTTTTAAAATTACTTATATCTGTATTATAAGCTGTCCTTTGCTCATCGTACTTTAATCTTTTTTCACCCATTTACCTCATCTTTTTCCTTTCGACACATTTTAACATTCCAACTCTTGCGACTGCAATTTCGATTTTCATATTTTGCTTCAATATTTTCATTTCATTTTCTGCTCTCTGGACCACCCAAAACTGAGTTTATCAATTGCTTTTTTGCTATTTCGCGCTTATGAATCTTTAAAATCCCATCTCGAGTGCTAATCGCGCGTTAAAGTGTTAATGGAAATTCCATAGGGGCTAGGAACCCCAACAAAGTATTGCATTTCAGCACATGCAGCTGCTCAGCTAATGCATGATCATAATGAATCGTTTCATTATTACAATCTGCTTGATTATCGTGAACTTTCTCTCCATATAATGTGGCAAATTATGTGCTGAGGCATCTCATCTGCTTAGCATCAACCGACACAAAGTTGACATTTCAAGTGCAGTTTGCACTCGAGACTTATCGTTTGGCTGGAATCCATGATTCGCCCCCCTCCAATAACTTCCTCAATGTTTTGATATGATTCTTTCATTGCCATATGCCGCCACAGACAAGACAAAGATGCAGTCAAGACCAAGACGTAGCCCAGATTATGGAAGTATACACTTAATTAAAACGTGCAGAGAGCCGGGGCACCGAACAGCCGACTTCGGCCACGAACTCTCAGAGTCCGGGCGCTGATTTAAAATTAAAAACATGAAAGTACAATTAAGTTTCCCGTGTCGAAGTTGAAATACTCTATGCTTACATAGGGAGCATGTTTTCGTATTGATATAAGCGACTTGAGCTTGAAAATTGAGAGATTAATATCTATTATTTTATAGCTACATTTTAAGCTAGTTTGAAGTTGCTTAAATCTGCTGGAGTCAAGAACTTCGCTGCCTTTACGATTCATAAAGTATTTATATATTCTATGAAGAGTTAATATTATATATAACGTCACAGCCTAATTTAATATATTTTATAAATATTTTTGCTGTCAATAATAAATACTTTCTATAAAATATTTACAAACTATTTAGTTACACTTCAAGATTGTAGAGTTGCTCTAGTACCAAAGTCATCGCACCCTTCTTTGGAGCATTAAAAACAATGTTTTCACATATGCCTGCAAGTATGAAAGATTTATGACAGCCATGCGCTTCATGAGAGTGAGAAAGTTATTAATAAATAACGAACAGGAGCCGCAACTCACCAACAGGGAGTCACATAAATATTTAAATTGGATCCTATCCTAATTAACTTTGTCGGCTCTGCAGCGTATGAAAAACTTTAACACACGACAAAAAACAGAATCAAATAAAATTGAATTACCTTTTATGGATGCGCTCTATGTAGATGTCAGATGTCTGCGTTCAGAGACAATTTTCAATTTTAACTACAATTGACACATGTTGAATTGAGCTTTTGGTCAGACGGCGACAGACCGAATGTGAACTAAAAACTCATGCAATAATTGTGTGATTTTTTTTCTTTCGTTAATATTCCCATGACTTTTGTTTACGCTGCTCGGTCGAGGGCAGCGCCAGTCGATGGAATTTCCATGAAAAGTGTAGGCGACACAGCGGGGAATGCGGCTGGGAGTTAAGCAGTGAAGGCGTCAACACATCAACAGCATCTGTCAAAATTTACACGCTCTCTTTACGTTGATGATTTTTGCATGAACGAGAGATATTCGCTCGCTGTCTCTGTCACAGATTTTTGATTTATTTTACAGATTTTTTTGTGATTTCCTTTCAGAATTTTGCTGTTGGAAGTGTCCAAAGTTCAAAAATGTGTTGTGGGATGGCAAGTTGCTGTACTTTAAATGGATGTCAGTATGAAAACAACAATGTATTTTATAGTGAATTTCACATTTGAGTGGATTTTAAGGAGTTGCATGTTCTTCGTGCTGTCAAAGTACTTGAGGGAGATTTTGTGGCAGCAGAGCGGAGATTTTTTTGTATTTAATATAAGTCTATATTCGGCTTTCATGAGTTTCAAGTTTTAATTGAACTTCAAATCTCTTTTCTTAAACTACAAACTACAAGAAATATGAAGAAATACTAGATAATATTACAACTGTAGTACAGTACACAATACAATACACGAACAGCAGATAAAGATCCACTTACACTCGGATACTCTTAATCTCTCTATAAATATATGGCCCAACCCGGAAATCAATGTCGTGTCATTAATAACTGAAGAAAGTTGCGGCTTGGCCGTAAGACGATATGACTTAATCAAAGCAGCATCAAAGCAAATTTACGCTTGCCATTTGAGCATTAGAATGTAATACCTATTGACCGGTTCCAAACTCGATCGCCGTCCACTGCGATCATATTTCATGCGCACAGCGTCTAATGATCGGCGACAAGCGCCAGGGAACGTGGTTGGATGGTTGGATGGATGGATCATGGAACTGGGCGTTAAATCGCTTGTAAATGAGTGACAAGTCAGCGGCTTAATTACAAACTGGATCACAGCTCGACTGTCACATGTGATTAGCGAATGCCTGAGACGCATTTGTGACCCAGCGGCAGCACTCACCTGCTTCAGATCCAGCGTGATGGTCACATACTCAAACTGGCGGCCACCCTGCAGCGTGGGCGATTGCCACCAGCTCTCCTCAAAGCTGCTGCTCGACGAGATCAGCGATTCGATGGGTCGCTGCTTGGCCCGATCGGAGCTGTGCGCATTACAGGTGCCGCAGTGCTTGGCCCAATTGCGATGCGGATAGGCGTCGACCAGTTTGCAATACTCCTCGGCTCCGTTCTGGCCACAAGTTGCGTTCACTGTGATCGAGGCGCGCGGCGCGACATTGAACAGCGGCGGATAGAGACCTCCAGCACTGATGGCCTCATCTGCCTGTTGGGTGTTGCGCAGACGCATATCTAGAAATGAAGAAATGTTTAGTGATTATAAAACTGAATAATATTTTATATATGTATATATGTATTGGAAAATTGTGTTAAAGAAACTTTGAGGCATCTAGAAAACTAAATGTTATAAGTGTTTCCTTATCAAAATCGTTTTATGAGTATACTAGAATTATAATTGCTCAAATTATTTGAAATTTAAGGTTTATTGAAGGCAACAGCTTTCAGCAAAAGCACATTGACAAAAGCTTTGAGCTAAACTTTAGAGTTATTGATTTTAAGTTTCTGCTAGATCACCGCTGCTTACCTTTACACTATGTATTACTTTGGCTCTTCGACTTATTTATTCTAGCTTTAAGTAGTTGACTAAGGTTCGAGAATTGATGAAGCCAATAGAAATTTAGTTTTTTAGTTGTGAATTAGGATTATTCTAAGATTAATTCTCTTTCATATATGTCTTAGTATTGGAATTTAAAGCTTATAGCTAAAGAGTGTTCAAAATCTTAAAGTTTTTCTTTTACTTCAAAGTTTTTCCAACCCTGACTAAAGCTCTTCAGCGCTAGCTCTAGTTTATAGCATTCAATATGCTGAAACAGCTTTTAATTGTCCTTTAAGTTTTCTTTTTCTTCTCACTCTAGTTCAGCTATAACTTTTACATTTTTTAGCTATAACTTTAAGCTCCTTATCTGTAGCTTTTGGCACTCAGTAGAAATTCAATTGGCTTCATTGCCTTCAGTGCACTCCCTCTAGTTTATAGCTCGCCTGGCTTAGCTTGAAACTCTCGGCTTCAACTTAAGCCTCAACATTATATTTCCTTAACAACTCTCTCTCTACTCAATTTATAACTCTTCAGCTCTAGCTTAAAGCTCTCAGCGCGCTCTTTATTCAACTGAAGCCACTTGCAGCTTGTTACATATTCTACACACTTGACAGATTTTCCCATGTCAATCAATTTAATTGGTCAAACAAGTCAAGAACATGCCCTCATACACTGGGCCATAAATCAGCAAAAAACAGCTGCTCTCGACTCCTGCTCAGTGGGACAGTCTTCGTCTGTTGCCATATTGATTGGTCTGCATTGCAAAAATATATCTCACGGATAGATAGCCGAAAAAAGAATACAAGACAGAAGCAAAAATAAACAAGGCAACTTTCGAGATAAAGTTTATCGCTGACCAGCAGCAGCAGCAGCAGCAGCAGTTGGTAGCAGCTGGACTCTGGGCCAGCTATGTTGACCTGGTATGCCATTTGCATGTTTGCTAGCTCAAAAATTGCAATTGCTGCTGTTCCTAGCTATGTGAGTCTTACTGAACTTGTTGCAATTGTTGCTGCTGCTGCTGATATTGTTGTTGTTGTTGTTGCTAGTGTCAGCGTGTGGAGCTGTTGGCAAATGTCAACAAAAAGTTTTCCCATTTGTTTGTAGCAAAGAAAAATGTTGACGTAATTGCTGCGAAAATGCATATAAGTTTTAATACTCTGTTTAGAAGTTACTTGAAGTGTATATGGATTTATGTGGAAAGGGCTCTGAGGCGCCAAACTTTGGATTTTTATTTGCATGCCTTGAATAACTGGGCTCCATAAAGCTCATATAACTGGCAAGCCTCATCTATTCCTTTTGACTTTATTCCTGCTTCACTGTTCCAGCTGCAGCTTTGAAGACATGGCTTAAAGTTTGCAGCATGAGAGCTGCTTCTTCAAAAACTCGCAGCTTGAAAGCAATTCCATTTTATAATAATAGCCCAAAAGTTTTCTTAAAGCCTGCCTCTCAACAAAATCCAACTCTTTTTAGCTTTACATACAGCGCATGGCCCAGTCTAATCCATTTTCCAACATTTGTTCCATTTTTCAACTCGAAAACTTTGGCAGAAACTTAAAAAATTTCGAAATGTTTGAGAAGGTTACGTGAGAATACAAAAGAAGTAGAAAACTTAATGGAAGAGATGAGTTTGCAAATGTGAAAAGTTTTGCGAAAACTTTAAGTGAATATGTGCGCATTTTTACTGACATTATATGAGCAGCGTCGCTCAAGTAGATAAAGTAGATGGAGGAGTGTGCAGCGTTAGTCTAGGGAAAGAGTTTGATTACAAATGTCTAAGCCCAACCTCTACAAGTCCCAAACGACTTTCACTTGAAACTAATTCATTTTTAAAACCAAGACAAAACGAAAAACGCTCGAACAATCATTTAGTTTTTTAAATACTAATATTTAAATGAGTTAAAACAAATGCCTAGAAAGTCAGGAAAATTGCCATGCCACGCCAGGGCAAGGTGCGAAAAGTAGCCAAAAGTAAGCACGAAAAATTATCGGTGGCTGTCAAAATGCGGTGGAACACGCAAATGGCATTTAAATGTTTTGACAAATAACAAATTTGCGGTAGCCAAAAAATGTTGACTCCACTCTCGGCACTCGAAACTGAATTGGTTATCTCTCCGCCAGTCCCACCTTGCCTCGATGTTGTGGCCAGCTTGCGCGGGCAAGTTTTTCGTTTTCCATGCGCTGACAGCTTAAGTGAGAAAAGTTTTGCTGATTAAATGTTTTGACAAATTGAATGGCCACAGAAATATTTATGCATTGACTAAATGAATAGCATGAAAAACTTTCGAGCGTGAAATGAGTAGAAAAAGGGAAAATTCATAAATATTCATTTCAATAGCTGACCAATTGAAGACAACCTGAGTCTGGCCCAGGCAATGCCAGCTAATGCCATAAACAAACCATAAAAATTTGCAGCCAGCAAGAAAGAAGCACACAGAACAGACTGGAAACTTATCTTTTCCTGTTGGTTTTTCCAAGAAATTATAGAGTATTAGAAAAGTTTGTCATGGTGGCGGAGATTGAGTTTTAGAAAATAGTAAAGAAATATTGAACATAGATTTTAGATAAAGAAGAACAGAGGGACAGATGCTTAAAGTGAGAACAGATGAGTTGAATTGTTGTTGTAGGAGAATGGATAAGTTGAATAAGAATAGTCAAAGGAATGTTAAAAGTATATATATGTATATATGTTTATCATCATTAAATAAGAAACTCAAGAAGAGCATTTGCTGAAAAGAATTTTAATCATGCTTAAAGATAAACGGAGGAGGGGAGGAGAGAAATGGAGAGAGAGAAAAGAAGAGGACGAAAGAGAAAGATAAATGGAATATGAAGATATTTAGGAGAAGAGAAATTATATATATGTATATTCCCATAAAAGGATTTTACTGATAAGAAGGACAAAATGAGATATGAAAATGAGATTTGCTACAAAAATGTTAAAAAAAAAATATTCTTAAAGATAAGCTAAAGCATAATTATTTAAATTGTACTTGAAATTATTAATATATAAATTTTAGTAAATCAAATAAATATTAAGAGCAACGCTGAAGCTTTGAACTGAGAGGTTATTGCTCTTTGTTTTATTCACCCATTGCAACAATCATAATTTGAATCAAGCAATAATTATAAATATAAATAATTGAAAATGTAAAATGCATATAAAAGAAAATTTTTGAAGCTCAAATATTACATTCAAATCTTATATTAATATGCAACAATATTTAATACTATTTATTTTCCACCAAAGTAATATTTCAACAAATAGAAGTAATTTAAAAAAATTTTCAATGCAAGCAACAAAAGCCAATGGGCAGAGTATTCAGAGTGTTGTATGTGGAAATTTCGTCTATGCTGCTGTTCCATGGTTTTTTTGATTAATTGCGAACTATTATGGGCACACGCATGAGACTCGATGCTGGAAGCTGGAAGCTGAGCGACTGCAGTTGCAGTTGCAGATAGGCAGCAGCTGCTGTTGTGTTATTGTTGTTGCTGCTGCTGATGTTGCTACCTCGAACTCTCGCATAGTTGAAAGCATTTTACTGTTTTCTGCATTTTATTCATATCGAACCCGACCGACGCATAAAATACAAACATATTTTCACTATTTTTGGTCTTCATCGAGTCCCAGCGCACAGCTGTGCATTGGATGTCGCCCCGGCCCAGTGTTTTGCCTGACTGCTTTTATTGGCTTCCATCTTGTTTGTTAGTTGGCAATTATGCATATAAACAGACAGTGGAGCCAGGCATAAATTACATCTATATATCTACTACCAGTTCGCTAGCTGCTTATTAAGTTGTTCCCATTGCAGTTGAACTTCAAAGAATGCAAATTGCTCGCCAGAAATGTATTTCCTGCCCAGCAAATGGCTAAATGCCAGTTGCATCAGTGTGCGACCTGTTTGATGCATAACAAAAGATTTAAACGGTAGCCCAAGTGGCTGCTAAAATATTTGATGACGACACTCAATCAACTCGCCAAACAAAATACATTTTATAATAATAATAAAAATTGCTGCTGCCCCAAAAGAGGCACAAAATAAAAGATCCATCCGCACATGGCTGCCTCAACTTCTGATGCCTGTCTGAGGCGAGGCGGCAGCGTGACGAAAACAAACTTTATGCATCTTGACAGGCTGCACAGCTACCGGAGAATGGATGGATGGATGGTTGGTTGCTTGGCTGTGTTGGCTGGAGCCAGCGAAACAGCAATCAAAATATGGCCATAAATAGGCGGCCAAAAGCCAAGAGACGAGACGAAACTCAACGACTCTGCTGAAACGGCTCAATTTCAAATGGCGACAATGGCTGCAGCAGCAGCAGCAGCAGTGTTTGCTAAATAAATATATTCAATATATGTATATATTGAGGCAGCATATTTTCGGGGAATTTTTGTGGGCGCTTAATGAAAAGTAATCAAATTTAATGCGCTGAACAGGAAATCACTGTGGGCAGAAGAGAACTCAAAGGGTGAAATGCATCAAATCCAATTAAAGTGCTTTATTAATATCTGAGAGGAAATTAAATATTTGTATATATGTATATGATATGCAATATAAATATGGTCTAAATGACTTCAAGAATTAAAGATAGACAATTGAAGCTATAGAAGAGGAGAGTGGAAGCCCGATACTCCCAGCCATAGCTTATCAGCTGTAATTGTATATATACATAACCTCAGTTTTAGGTTAATAATAGG